AACCCTAAACCTCAAACCCCAAACGCTAAACCCTAAACCCCAAACCCAAAACCCTAATCCCTAAACTGTAGGCAGAGCATTACATCATGTGACTTCCGACTACCACCTCGCTTCAAACACTCTAAGGTTGGGTACTGCCCCCACTCAGTAACAGTTGGATAATATTTATAACATAGTTATATTTACCCCTTTATATGACCCCTAGTATAGACTGCTTATCAAGGATTATCACGTTTTAGGGTCTACATTGGAGTCCCCTTACTTTGGGCAACTACCCTATGCCCTACACTCAAACCATAAGGGGGCTTTGGTCTAGGGTTCAGGGTTTAGGGTTGTAAGGGGGGCGGGTTTAAGCTGACACCCTGAACCCTAAACCCTAAACCTCTCCCTTTGTAAGCATGTAGGGTTTTTGGATCTAGGGTTAAGGGTTCCCCGGCCCAAAGCTAGCATGGAAGCCCCAGCGGGCCCTTTGGTTTGGCAGTGATCTTCAAAGGGTCCCTGTTGGGGTTCTATGTTAGACTAAAGTTTCCCTGGAGGGGTTAGATAGGGGATGATATAGGGTTTGGGGTTTAGCGTCTAAACTTCTCAAGGGGGGTTGTATAGGGGAGTGTTGTACGGGTTATTGGCCCCCACTAATCATACGCATTCCGGGATGGTTTGTAACTACAGCGGGGGAAGTGGGGGATTTTAGGGGGAAGCGATTAACCACAAATCATGTTCACAACACACGTCCAACAACTATCCATGTAAGAGGCATGCCGCCAATCACATGCTTTCAGGCTGTAGGGATCGCACCATACGACCACCTCGAGTACCACAAGCCAACACCTGCCATTAGGGAGATGGTTCACTTCCACACGATTTGCCCTTCCCGTACAAGGGGTCTAGGGATAGGTAAGGATTCGGTAGGGATTAGATGGGGTTAGGGTTGAGGGATTATAGGTAGGAGCGGCTGTGTTTAGGATTTCTTGGTCCATGCCAGGGGCTCCCAGCAAGTTCCAAGTTTGGCCAAGAAATTCTGGAGCAGGGCTGAGAATTTTGACAATAGAACTCTAGGGGCCCTAAACCCCAAATCCTAAATCCTAAACCCTAAACCCTAAGCCCTAAACCCTAAATCCTACGCCCTAAATCCTAAGCCCTAAATCCTAAGCCCTAAACCCTAAACCCTAAATCCTAAACCCTAAATCCTAAATCCAAAACAGGAAGCAGGCTACCTTCAGAGTGTCTGGCAGAGAAGTCTCAGGGAGCTAACATTTACTGGGTTGCTGTTAACGAACTTAAATTCAGTTACCATAATGGGTATATATAGTAAATAATAGGGTTTCCCCAATATAGTAACTTAATTTAAGTTCCTTAACAGCAACCCAGTTTAGTAGCGCTTCGAACCACTGATGTTGTCTATAATTTAGGTGGACTCCCCTCCCTGTATTAGCGACTATAAGGGATACTAGTAGGGTCCCCATGTATTCCTATTCTACCACTATTACGAGGGGGGGGGGGTCCTCCTAATCTATAATCATGACTATTTTTGCTGTTATAAGGGGCTGTAGGGGATTGAGAATTCTAACTTGGGCTCTTCATAACTAGATTGAAACATCCCCGGATCGCGCCTGCTTCCGCGGGTTGTAGTCAATGCTTGTGACCTTGTCCCCGCTGAGGCTGTTGCGCTCATCGATGCCCTGCAAACTTGTAATCTACAAGGCCATGTTCGGAGGAAAACAAGGACCGTCGTCATCACCATCATCATCACATGATTGAACCTACACTAAAGCAGTGGCAGTACTGATGAGCTCCTAAGAGTAGCTTCTCGGAATAGCTGCCGTTATTGGGTAGAAACGGGCTTTCACTAAGTCTGCGCCAAGCTGCCTGCAGCGTCAAGATGTAGTTTTCATCATCTGCCAGGTTCCACAACCTGAGAAAACAGGTAGGGGTTTCTCAGGGTCCCTATTCGAGCTGCAGACCAAACTCCTAGTATCTCCCTTAATGGCCCCTTTACTAGTCCCCTATATAATCCTCTATATAAGCCCTCGTTAAGGAGTTTGGATTATGGGTCATTGGGGTGGCCTTATACCAGGGAGTATAGAATGTTTGAGGCACATAGCTGGACTGGAAGGCTGCATGGGTTGCAAGGGGATTATGGAAGGTCCATATTCAGGCGCGGTTTAGGTTTTACGGTTTAAGGGCGTTTTCAGCAACACCTCTCTGAGGGCTTTTGTGTTTAGGCATGTGATGCTTCTCCTTGGGGTTCAGAAAATCTGGCCACCAAAGAGTGTACAGGCGCACGAGCTGATATCACGGCTCCCTATGCAGGGGTGCTCTTACCCCCCCCAATAAAACAACTTTGGCTTCCCCAACCCCCAAATAAAGGATCATACGATTATCATATGTGCGTGTCCTTGTAAGAGGGGCTGAGGTGACCCCGGACACGCGGTGTGCTCGGGAAGATAAAGAAGATTACATACCGGAGTCCTTGTGGAGCTTGATACAGCATCGAGAGGAGACCCTAAACCCAGAACCCAAGTTGGAAATAATCCTTCATGCTGATTCGGGGGGAGTGGGGGCAGGCATCCCTGTTCTCCCCAATAGTTGTACCTATGATATACGGCCTACATGGGCCTATATCACCATAGTAGTAGGGTTTGGGGTGTTATGTGTACATGTATATACTAGAATCATAAAGCTTCATCAGGATTCTCAGGAAATAGTGTCACCCATTTTTTGGGCTTCTAAACGATTCCCTCCTCCACTCCCCCTGAAGCGCTTTAACCCCAAATCCGACAGCCTAAACCCTCAAAGGCAAACTCTGAATTAAAAACCTGAAATCTTAGACCCTAAGCCCTGGAACCAAACCCCCAGCCTGACGATACTCTCGTGACTGCAGGTCGCCAGCAAACCAGGCCCGGCCTCAGAATCAGAGTCTAGCTACTTGATGGTTTTAGGGTTTAGGGTATAAGGCTTTAGGATTTGGCGATTAGTGTTTGGGGTTTAAAGTTACTTCTGGGTTGTCATAGTACTGTGGCGTTTTCCAGGGACCCTAGCTTTCAGACACACCCACTTCAGGATTCTAGACATCCTTCATATCTCAAACCCTAAACCCTTGTCATCAAAGGCGCGCGGTAAAAAGTTTATGGCTTAGGGCTTCAGGAGGCTCAAGGCGCAAGAATAGCTAAACATAAAGGGCTGCAGACACATGTATATATAGATATGTTTTATCATATGTCGCTGATTCGCATGGTGTGGGGTTTCCCGGGGGTTTGTCTCGATCTCAAGTTGCAACTGGTTATCCTTGGAAACCCTAAACCCTAAACCCTAAAATACTGTTGGTGGAGGGAGCCCTGCATCACCCCAAGTTCCCCACGTTCAGAGAAACCAAGGACTTCGGGTCTCGGGTTTAGGGCTAAGGGTTTGAGGGTTTAGGGCTGAGGGTTTAGAGGTTTAGGTTTTAGGGCTGAGGGTTGAGGGGTTGAGAACTGAAGGGTTTAGGGGTTTAGGGTTTAGGGCTGAAGGTTGAGGCGTTTAGGGTTTAGGGCTGAAGGGTTTAGGGCTTGTAGGTTCGCCCAGTTGGTGCGAGAGTTCCTACATGAACAGTATTAATGTGTCAATTCGCCTAACCCTATAGGGTCCATGTACTGATACTTGGGTACCTGGTATTTGGGCAGTAGCAATTCCAATGCAGGTTTTGGGTAAGTATGTGACTGTTAGGTACTTGGACCCTCACAGGGTAAACCCTTAACACTAAACCTGCGGACTTTTTTTCGCCACAAAGCAACGCCTTTGGGATGCCAGTGACAGTTTCCTGAACTCAGGGCTTCAGGGTGAAGGGCAACCCTTAAGGGCTTAAAAGGAGGGTTAATGGGAACCTTTAGTGGGGTTTAGGGTTTAGGGTTCAGGGTTTAGGGCTTAAACCAGACGAGCTTTGGATAGGGTTACAACCTAAACCCAAAAATCCAGGTCTCCGCGACTGCAAACTTATCCATACAAAGGGCAAGGTGCCCCGATTCGTTTACTGGCCCATGTACAAAGGGACTCAGAAATCCATTGCAACCCTAAATCCTCATATCCTACATCTTGAAACTCCAAAACCCCAAACGTGAAACCCTAAATCTCAAAATCTTGAACGCTAAGCCTTGAAATCCTAAAAGTCCTATGGAAACTCCCACATTCGCAGTGTGAAGGTCGGCCTTCGACCGACTTCAAAACCGAAACTTGATGCGCAGTTCAGGGGTCAGAATTTGGGACTTATCAGGGGTTG